AAATGAAGGTTAGGTCTGACACAGAACCATTATTCATTTCCTTCTCCCCCTATCATCTATCTTCACTTCTAGCCCCTACCTGCATGTGAGGCTGCCCTGACTTTCCATCAGGGCACAGATCTGCATGCCCAGGTGAGATGTTTGTGATTGCCACACTTGGAGTCTTTCCATGGAGGTTTAAATTAGTTCTTTGGTTAGACCCTGCTGCTTCCATTCTGTGTTCTCCTCCTAGCGCTACCATTCCTGTTCTAGAATACACTTTTCAACCCACAGTTTTCCTATGTAGTCAATTAATAAATTAAAACCTTGCTAATTTTTCCTTTCTGTTAACTGAATATCAGCCTTGCTGCCTCATTTCCCAGACCCCCAACCTTTTTTGCTGGTTTTGCTTCCCTGCTGTGTCTCTAATTTTTCCATGTCAGAAACCTTGCTTTATTCTTTATTAGGAAGCATTTTTTCCAAGTCCCAAATGGCAGGAAACTGCCTCACTGTCTTTACTGATCAACAAGAATTATTAATTGCCTTTTTTAAAAAAAAAAAAAATCCATCCTGACAGCCTTTACATTGCAATGATGTTTTAGCCCAGACTCCTCCAGTAACTATTCACAAATATTTTTGTTTTCATGAAGGCGAAAAATCATAGCAGCAGTCTCTTTGCAGCTGATTGTGGCAGCCAACTGTTTATCTGTGTTCATTGTGATTCAAAGTTGCAGCTTATACATTGGCAAATAAAATCCTAGTGAGGGATCAGAAAACATACACTGCTAACAAAGCTGATTTGTAACAGGTCTTGGACATTTAATATTTGAGCATATGCTGTAACATTTCTGCATCACACTAGAATGCACCCTTTTTTATTCATTCATCTCGCTGTTCTGAATGAAGTGGGTTAACTCTGGAAGCACAAGGGAGCTCAGCCAATGCTTCCAGATTACCAGACTGATTTAACAGGCATTCCTGTATGGGTAAAGAACATAATTTCACACATACCCCTGTGTATAATACTACCTGTTGCCATGGTTAGAGGCAAGAGCACCCATACCACACTGTCTTATGGCATGGGAACCCAAATTAAGTTAGTCTTGTTTTACAAGCTTTCACTCCTCTTGCCACACTACCCCCTACACTGTGTGAACATACGATAAATTTCATCACAGAGCTGGCCCGTATCAACACATTTTATTCTGATGAGGTTCACTGCCGAAAATGCTTGGGGAATTAAAAGCAATCTATCGGGTCCTGACATTGTAAATACATCTTAACAGGCAGTGAACTATGGGACCTGAGCATCCAGTGGCTATATCATGGTGATACTTAGTGCTAGCATAATCCTCTTGCAGTGCGAATTTGTCCCTCTCCAATTTAGGAACACCAAAGCTGCTGGTTATATTTGCTGTGTAGTTCCCAGATACTTTGAACAGATGTTAATGCAGCACATCTTACCCCCTCATCCTCACTAAACAGGACTTAGCACTTCTCCCAGATGAAATAAATGGGCACCAGTGGGTAATAGTTTGTCACTTTTGCAAATAGTTTGTTACACTTTTTTTTCCTGTATTTTCAAATCTACTTATAAAGGGAACTAGAATTCCATAAACCTCCATTAGATGGTAAATGTCATTCAAAGGAAATGCACATAGTAAATGAAAGTTCAGAATGTCACTTAGTCTTCTGTGTTCAGGATGATAATCCTTCTTCTTGACTGGAATCTTTGCCCCAGCTGTTTTTCTTCTGCAGGAATTAAAAAGGAGAAGTGAATTTTGAGGAAGTCTGGCTAAGTAGTGTTTGCCCTGTTTCCTTCAGAGCCAACACAGGAGACATTTGACTTCTCTGATGAAGACATTAGACATATTAAGACTCACTGATCTCTTAGAAGTTGCAAGGTGTGACTAAGGACAAGTTTGTGTAGGCTGCAATTGCAGTGACATACCTGCAATTGCTAAAGCAGCTGATACTGCCAATGAAAACTTACCATAGAATTAGAGAACACACTGAGTTGGAATGGACTAATCAGGATCATCAAGTCCAACTCTTGGCCCTGCACAGGACACTTCAAGAGGTCACACCGTGTACCTGAGAGCACTGCCCAAATGCTTCTTGAGCTTGGTGCTGTGACCCCTGGGGAGCCTGTTCCAGTGTTCAGCCACCGTCTGGGTGGACAATCTTTTCCTGAGATCCAACCTCAAACTCTCCTGACTCACTCAGATTCATGCTGTTTCCTTGAATCCTTATGAGAGTGAAGAGATCAGTACCTGCCCCTCCACCTCCCCTCATGAAGACGTTGAAGAACACACAATGAGGTCATTTTAGAATTCTACCATAAGGATTCAAAGAAAGCAGAAAGATCAGACTATTTACAGGCATATTATACTATTCTACTTCAACAGCTAAGACATATGGGGGATAAATGATGCTTTAATATCAAAATATTTATTGCATTTTGAGTGTTCTGATAAAGAAAAAAGAAATGAGAGCTTTTAAGAGAATATGGCTCCAACAGCATGATAGGATATTCTTGGTTATTTTACTCTAAAGTAAAGATGACTGTGCTATCACCATGCAATTGCATTTATCCAGCTTGGACCAACCTTAACTCTCTATTTGGTTTATTCATGCTTCTTGTGATACATTTATAATCAAGATTAGCTGATGGTGAAGTCCGGCGAATGTAATAAAACATCTACCACAGATTCACATGAAGCATAAACAGCACTCCAGTGTGCTACTGGGTACACTGTTCCAGCTGAGATGCCAACACCTACCCAACAACAGATGCTAAGTGCTTTCTTGAAGTTAAGGTAGGCCAAAATACAATACAGCCCTCAGTAAAAAAGGCTACAGACTTCCAGACACACACAGCATAAGTCCTACAGACAAGCAGAAGTGTTAGCACTTAAAAAGTTCATAATACATGTTCTTATTACTTGAATGACGTTGGGTTCCTTTGAAGACATTCAGTGGGACATTACACAAAACAGTCCAACAACACCAATCTCAGTTCTACACTCCTGGAATTCTGACAGTGTAGATGCTAAATGCAAAAAGAAGGGAACAGAGCCTGTGTGAAACCAAGTCACAGGCTTCTTATTTGGGCCTAAGAAAGTATGAGAAAGAATCCAAACAGTCCTTGGTAAAGGACAACAATCTTTGCAGGTGGTGTTCAGGAAACAGTCAAGGGGTGATGTTACACTTAACCAGTGATGGTAGATGTGTTACTTTAATGATCAATGAGAGTTTTACCTTTCAGACTTTCTCAAACATGTCTATAAAACAAGATCAAGAATAAAAACCTTTGCTCTCCTGTTCAACACACAAGAGAGTCTGTGTCATTCTTCTCGCCGTTCCCAATAGAACAACATGACAGCACTCAAAAATTAGTTCAAAAGTAACACGTGGCAAGAGGGAGGCATCCTCATCTGACACAAATTAGAGTAGTTCAATTTCTAGACTAGAATAAAAAATAATGATTCCACTTCTGTCTTCTCTGACATAAGACTGTGAAAGATGCTAATCTGACAGTCTTAAAAATTGTATCCCTACAAACTACTTTTAGTCTTTCATAATGTAGACTAGCAAAATGAAGCTATCTGGTGAAAGTTGTTTCAGCAAGTTTTATTCAGCAAGTTTCTTACATGCCCAAAATCTTCATACAAGGTAGGGAAAGGGGATGTGTCTCCCACTTTCTAGCCTCCAACTCCAATCATTAGGTCACTCTCACTGTTAAATGCTATTAATTTCCAAGTATTAGTGCAAAGCACATGTTTAAAATCTTTTTGAAATTAAATAAATGGGGTGGGGTTTTTACACTTTTTTAAGTGACCCACTTTAAACAATACAATCCACAAAAAGAAAGCAGCAGCCAGTTTCACTGTTTGACTGTCATTAGCCTCCTGAATGTACTGCTTTAATACAGGCATATTAATAATTGTTATAATGATTTGCCAAGCGAATGTCTTCAGTCATATTTTTCTGGTGGTACTAAGCACTCATCATACAAACTTTCCTTGAAGTTGTGAATGCTCAGCAACTTACAATTTCAGAGTTCTGCTGCCTAAGGATGAGCACATGGTTAAAAAAGCCTTCCAAAACAATGCTGCCATAAGGGAATTATGTATATATAGCAGTAAATGAAGAAAAGCCCCTTCCATCCAGCATGGCTTCACACAGGCCAGGTGACCTCTTTACATCAACCACACCTTTAGGTACAGGTGTCACCACGGAGTCACAACCACCTCATGTCTATAAACAGTTTTTTAAACAAACAAAAAGCCACAAAAAAAACCAAACAAAAACAACAAAACAAAAATAACCACCACAACCCCAACAAACAGCAACAAAAACCCAGGGAAAGTGCGGGGGAGTTGGGGAGTTGTCCCGATGGCCTCCGCCCAACAAACTGCTCCGTCCTTTGAGCTTTTGACCTTACTCCGGCCTCAGCGAAGAGCCCACGGAGCAAAGCGTCCTCACGGCCGCCCAGGGCCGCGGCTCTCCTTCCCTTCTCCTTCCCGGGGAGGACCCCGCAGCTCCGTGGCGTCCCGCTCCCCCCGCCCGGCTGAATCCCATCCCGGCGGCCGGCAGCCCCGGGCGGAGCGCGGACAGCGCCGCGGCAGCTGCAGCCCCCAGCTCGGCGTTCTGCCGCTGCCGAGCGGACACCGGCCATACCCTCCCGTGCCGTGCCGTGCCGGGTCCTGCCGTGCCGTGCCGGGTCCTGCCGTGCCGTGCCGTGCCGGGTCCTGCCGTGCCGTGGCGTCCCGCCCCCGGGCATCCGCTCAGCCCCGCGCCGGGGCGGGCTGCCTGATAGAGGCAGGGCTGCTCCGCTCCGCCCTGCTGTGCTCCCTGCTCCCTCCGTGCCCGCCCGCCCCAGAGCCGCTGCGCCGCTCCGGGAGGCGGAGGTGCCCTGCCCGTCCTGCAGGCCGGCAGGCGAAGGTACCCCCGGTGCCGGGGCGCTGTGGGCCGGCGGGCGCCGGGACGGGGCACGGTGTGCGGGAGCTCGGGAGGAGGATCGAGGGCCGTGGGCAGCCGGGAGCTGCGGGGCAGCGTCCTGGGAAGGCGGCCCGAAGGGGAGGTGGTGAGCCGGTCACTGCAGCTGAACGCTGCCTGTGGGGTTACTTAGGATGCTGATTGGGTTGGTAGGCGCTCTGTGCCAGGTGACAGTAAGGTTATCCAGCGTCCTCCGGGGGCTGAGGATTCTACTGCTGCACTTGGGCAGCCTTGGCTACAGGACTGCTATATTTTTGTGGGATCGTAACTCTCCCGGTACAGTAAGAAAAATTCATCCTTGCCAAACGCTGCTCAGGTGATTGCGAGATCAACCTTTAGTCCTTCGACTAGCAAAGGTGATGTGCCAGTCAGCTGCCAGCCTCAATCCCTGTGATTCGTGAGCAGGGATGGTGGTCTTTAAGACCCTGTCAGGTCTGCAAGAGCCTGTCGGTGGTGAGTGTTGGCACATGTACCGACAAACCTTTGCTGGCCAAGTTATCAGAAAGATTTCAGGAGCAGATAAAACATTGTAGAACGTCTGACACTTCTCTACCCAATAAAAGCCCTCCACACTTACGTCTGTGTGGACACAGGCATACTAAAAAACAATACAAGGCATGAGAAGTGATCTGAGATCTTATATGTACCAAAGGCCCTTTGATTAATTCACCTGTAAATATATATCTCTGCTCACTTTAGTTGAGAAGCCAAAATCGGCCAAGTGAGTGGCAAATATGTCTGTATGGATATGCTTGATTACAGTAGTTGGTGTAATTATCAATACTAATGAATTGAGTGAGAATGGAGACCCAGTCAAGTCTGGGTTAGGGGAGAGATGTGTCTGTGGAGATTAAGCATCTCATTGAAGGATGCAGAGTTGGTCTTCTAACAGGAAGTCTCCTGTGGTCTGTATCCGTAAACTCTGCTTCATTAAATGGAAAGTCATACTTTTCTGAAAGATCTAATGTGCTTCTGACCTATACAAGCCTAATATATGAATATTTTACTTAAAGAATTACTGTCATAAATTTTAAACTGAATTTAGGTCAAATTGTATATTGCCTCTGAAGGCAATTGTCTTGCTTGGTTTTCTACAGGGATTAACTTTAGCACCCTTCTCTATGCCAGAGATACCAGTCCCCTTTCATGCAAATGGAGAGTTTTATGTTAAGTGCATTAAATTAGTGCAGTAAAGTTAAATGCAGCAACTACATTTATTTTAAAGAATTGTTGCTTCTCTTTTTAGACTCAACAAAAAACTTGTGGTTACAAAATCTTGCACTTTTTTTTGTGTACAGGAAATTTAATAACATTTTTCCTTTATAACTCCATTTTTGCTTAGAACCATAATAGCTCTATAGATAAGAGAACCTTATTACAGGAAACGCCAATATTGGCTCTAGAAAAATGTTCCAGTGCTGTTTTGATACTTGTTTCATTTCTTACTGGTGTTACTGCCTCTGCACACATTTTGTCACATTTTAATGAGAATGAAAAATAGAAAGTACTCAATAGAAAGCATTCACCACATGACTTTTCCAGAAAGAACTTGTTTGCCTACCCACTATATCTTTGGCAAATATTTTTCTGTTATCAGAACAGTTTTAAGCTGTCCCAGTGTTTCTGCCAGAAGACTTTCTGAAATATCTAGCTCTGCTTTAACAGAGACCTGTTTCTTTTCAAGACTGGCCTAGTTTCCCATGCAGAAAACCTGAAACTCGTGGTGACACGTGTACGTTCACATGCTAAATTTCATGAACTTTGCTCAGAGTAGCAGGGATCTAAGTGACCTATCTCCTGGCACTTGTCAAACATGATTACCTATACACATAGATAGCAAAGTTAACTGAGAGATGTAATCAGTCTGGGCATGTAGTGCTAAAGGTTGAAGTGTAAGTGCCAGCATGCTCTTAGCTGAGAAAGATGTTATTGCTTCATAATGTTGTTAGTCAAAGATTAAAACCTGTTTTGACGAAGGATGAATTTCTTGCACAGCTTTTATACACTGGAAAATAAAATAACATTCCTCCAAGGATTTAAAAGCCTGCTTGGTGTCAGCACTACTGGAATGTGTACAGATTGTGAGGTTAAGCACATACCTGAGATGGTATGATTCAAGCCTATGACATTTGCTTAATGCAGGGAGGTGAAGAGAAGAAACTCTACAGCTTTGCAGTGCATTCTTAAATGTGTTCAACTGCAAACGTGGGCTCTCCTCAATAATGGTAGTACAGGTAACTGAAAAGTCAGTAGTAACAGACAGTTATTTATCTGGTGTGCTTTGGAGATTTATAAGCACATATCTTCTGAAGCTTCTTATGTTTTTTCAGCACAGTTGGGACTGTGAGTAGTTTGCATATGATTTCATGGTGACAAGTAGTGCCTACAAAGTCATAAAAGCAGAATTTTTCCTGACCTATAGGACTAGTTTGTGGGCACTAAAGTGCTTTCATCAAACCATAAGTTTTGAGTTGTAATTGTCATGCATTTCTGTTTAAGATGCTCAATGGGCAGATTTTTTATTAGTAGTAGGGTGTATTTATTTTAGATTTTTGTCCACATTCTGTCAGACCAGAGAACAAAACCTATGACATGAGGGATGGGCCATTTTTAAAGCAGATGAGGGCAGGTGTTTCCACTGCTGCTGAATGGTAAATGAATTGTGTATTGCATCCTGGAGGAAAGTGGAAGCAGCCTGAAATGAGTCAGAAAAAGGACAAATGGATTAGATATGCAGGTGTAAACCTATATATTTTTTTGAAACAACACTCAAAAGCAGGCTAGAGAAAATATTTAGAATGGATCTGAAAATGTTTTTGCAATGTTGATATTTGCATTTTCTCTGTGGTTTACCCTATCTGGTAAATGTTTTGGGTTTTTTATCAGGTATCTGAAGAAACAGTCTGAAGATGAACTTCTTCCTGGAAACATTAAGATGCATTGTACTTTTTGTTTATTATTTACTGGAGTCACTGGTGTTCTTGGTTGTTCCTGGACGAAAGAAGAATGTTAGTGGTGAAATCGTATTAATTACAGGAGCAGGAAGTGGCATTGGAAGAGTCTTGGCAATAAAGTTTGCCAGCCTTGGAGCCACAGTGGTCCTCTGGGATATTAATCAAGAAGGGCTCAACTGTGCCGTTAGACTGGCCAGAGAAAATGGGGCAGGAAGAGTACACTCTTACATCTGTGACTGTAGCAAAAGACAGGATATCTACAGAGTAGCTGACCAGGTAAAGTATCTTATTTGTGGCTTTGACATTATTCCAAGATAAGTGCAAGCATGGGTGTAAGATGCATTATTAAGTTTTCCAGTGAATTCAAAGTGAGAGATTTAAGTTAATTGATCCTGAATGTATTTGGCTTCATATCTATTTCAGGAATTCTGTTTTTTAGAGTTGACTTGTGTATCTCTATTCCTTAAAAAACAGAAAGAGCCGGCTCTCTTTTTCAGTAGCTCATTTTAACTGGGTAGCTTCTCATTCATTCATTCAATTACTGAGCAGGCACTTAATCGTGAAGTGCGGAAAATCAATTTATTGAAGCTAAAGCAGTATTTCAAGTTCTGGCAGCCTTTTACCAAAAGACCATACATTGTAAAACGGATTAACTGCTTAGGCAATTTTCAAATAATTCCATTGCTGTGAAGAGATTTTTGGAGACTTACTTTATCTGAATTAATAAATGTATCTTGATGTCTTAAATATTTCTTTCCTTCATTGCTGCAGAGCTTTGTAAACATAGCATGTTGTTAGTTAATTTGGACAGACTAGCAGTATTGCCAAAAGCTAAAATTGTTAAACAGTTTCAAGTGTAAAAACCCGCTCTCATTTGCTTAAAATTTGCTAAATTTAACTGTTGAACTAAGAGGTTTCCACAGTGAGTCTTGCTTAGCGATGAATTTTTTTTAAAAAAAAGTTCAGCTGTCTTCAGAAACATCTGTTGGCTGAAACAATGTTTTGGTGATCTTTAAGAAGCTCTAGCCTTCTGTCTTTTTCTATCAGTGCAAAAACTACTATGACAAGCTTTCTGATATGTGAAGCTTGTGCATGAATTGCAGCTTGTTAGAGGCTGGTGCTATTGGTTTTGTATTCCAGTAACGCTGATCAGCCTTGGTCGCCCTCGCAGCTCTTTTACACCAGCTGAGCTGGACATCTGCTGTCCTTGCAGAGAAGCTGCACATCTCTCCACAGGCCTGTAGCTTCCTGCTGAACTGGGAGGACTGGAGGAGGAGTATTGTAGTGTGAAGAATACTGGAATGAAGCAGATTAAAATTCATATTTAGTTTTGAGGACTTGAATTGAGTCCTCATGGGCACATAGAGAAAAGCAGTGCCTGAGCCATACTGGCCAAATTTAAAAAAACAGAGAACAGGGTGTAGATATGTGTGACAGTGGTTCAGGATGATGCAAACAGAGTTAGGCAGGACAAAGAAGTTGTAGTAGGGTCCAGTTAATGGTCCCTCACTTATAACCTTCTGTCAGCAGTTCAGCAACTGTCAGATTCACTAATAATCCTCATGCTGATCTGCATAGAAGAGAACACCCTACTACCATTATTGCAGAAATGGCATGTCCTGCTGATGATGTAGAATCATACAATCTTACCAGTTACAAAAAGACTTTAGTATTAGGTGGTGTTCAGTGCCTCTGTTTCCTTCATGCAGTGTAGTAGACTTTGGTTCTTAGTGCTCAGCATCAGCCTTTGCAAGATATGACAGCGTGGTTCCAGGTCCTTTTTCCCCTTCTGGTGATTCAGCTTTATGCTTTAGACTTGGAGTTTTCAAGACTGTGATGAACTAAACTCATGCTGGCAGCTCAGGATACGTTTGAAAACTTTGCTCACAACAGAACAGTCTTAAAGCCAAAATGAAGTGTATGTGAATCTTTAGTATGTGCTTCATCAGCCACACAGAGACATCATGAAAAAGTTACTTTGGTGGGAAGAAAACCTAAAGGCTCTGCATGTATCAGGTCATTGTTTCTTTCCTGTACCAAAAGGATGAGGGACAGTCTTTTGGCTATTAAAACCTATAGCTTAAAATTTATTTCTAATGTCCCTGTTCCAGAAGTATCCAACTTGTAAAGCTTAGTTAAAAAAAACCAGACAAGATTGGAGCAAGTTTAAGGAAGATGGGGAAGTTAGAATAAAAGATAGATGATAAATTACTCTTTAATTCTTCACTGTTATACCCATTTCATTTTTCCCAGATTGCTCAGATCAATGACCTGTACTTCAAATTCGATATTAAATATTTTCATTCTCCTTTGGAGAGCTGACACAATATCTTGCTATCTGCTGGCCTACAGTTGTTCTCTCAAATGAGTCTGTTCATGAATGTTCTCAGTCCAGAGCTAAAATGAAAACTATATTTCATCTTACTGAATTAAATGTATAGGTATTATTTTTTAGCCAACTTAATTTCTGGGGTAGAGTGTACCAGATTCTAGTCCAGAATTGTTCTTTAGTTTTAAGATGTGTTTACTGTAACAAAATACTTGTTGTATTAGTTAAGCTTTCTACATTAAAGACTTATCTGAAACATTTGACCTCAGAAATAGAGGTGCTGAAACCAGTAGCTTGTGTGGAGCTGTTGGGCTCCACAAATCTGAAGAAAATCCATTTAAGAGCTCCCCTTTAAAAAGGCATCAGGTGAGACTGTGCAAGCAACTGAGGTGTTTGGATGCATAACAAGCATAAGTTCAACTTATTTAAATGTGTAATATTTCTTTTGTTTTCATATATAATACTTGAAAAGAATGTTTTGTGTTTATTGCACACTATCTTCACGCTTTTTGTTTTAGGTTAAAAAAGAAGTTGGCGATGTCAGCATCCTAATCAACAATGCTGGTATTGTAATCGGGAAGAGATTTCTTGATTCTCCAGATTCACTTCTAGAAAAAACCATGGAAGTGAACACAATGGCACACTTCTGGGTAATACCTGTATTTTGCATATACATACTAAGACATACCTTTAAAATGTTTTTAATGTTAATTTTGCCTTTTGGAATTAAGGAAAACATGGAAGGATATAGAGCTCTTTGGAAGTTCAGTCAGAAATTATCAAGAAGTCACTTACTTTGCTCTGGAGTCTGTAAAATTTTTAAAAAGCATGGAAGAATGGATCTTTTGTGAATCTCTAGTGTAGGCAGGTAGAAGCAGTTCACATTTAGAAATTCTCTTAAGAACTAAAGTCTACCATCTGATAAATTCTGAGGCTAGTCATATGTTACAGTCTCATTATTAATTGACAAGAAACAGTCCCACCCTAATAATTGCTGCTCCTAGTAACAGAGAAGTGTTCAATTCTACTTCAGTTCTTCTGTTCCATTGGTGTTCCAGTTGTTCTGTGGCTGTGATAATTTCAGTAAGAAACACCACATGTTCTGATAATCCTCTTAATACTAAGTGGAGCTTTTGTCCAGGATGAGTAACCTGGTGTGCTTTTTCTTCCTTCCAGTGGAGACAGGTCACCTATATGGTGTTCCTAGCATAAAGAATTGTAAAGAAAATATTCAATCATGTTTCAGTTTATTTAGAAATAAATTTAATCACAAAGATTTAATTAATTTAATAGAAGAATTTAATAGGAGGAAAACATGAAATTAAAATCTTTGCCATTTCACAAAATTTTCAGTGAACACTTAATTCTAATTTGAAAGAAACTTCATGACTAGCTTATTTAGCTTTCATCAAGTTACCATCTGGGGTAGTACTGGTGGGGTGGAAACTCCCCATTTAAATTATTGGAGGTTAGAATTCAAACAACAAGCTCCACATACATACACAGACACATCCCTTCCATAATGGAAGGGGGAAAGCTTATTTAAACTGTTGGGAGAATTTCTTTAAAACCAGCAAACACCTTCAAAATGTTGTGGCATGTAGCTTACTTAGTGAAATGTTACACTGCAGCTCTGATTTACTTTGCAGACTTACAAAGCCTTCCTCCCAGCAATGATTGCCGCTAACCATGGACACTTGGTTAGCATAACAAGCTGTGCAGGACTGTGTGGAGCCAATCAGGTTTCAGGTAGTGTATTAAAGCTGATATAAATTGAGGTAATTAGTTTCATTTTAAACTCTTCAGTCAATATCCATGGGGGAAAACAAAGCCAAACTGATTTCTTTGCAAAACATTTTCCAGAAGCTTAGCAGTGCTGTGAAACAGGTTTTTCTGTCAAGGCAGAAGGATCTAGATGCCATATAGAACTTTGGATTCTGAGAACCTCAATGCTGTTAAAATTTATTTGTGGGTTTCTGATAGGGAAGAGGGCACTTTAGATTTAGAGGAAGCTCAGAAGGCATTTCTGGAACATGTATACAAAGAGGAAGAATATGAAACAAGGTGGCCTAGCAGTAAAAGAAATCTAGCTCCAAGGGAATGATAATAAGTACAAACTGAGTTTCAAGTTAAAACCACCTTAGAGAGTCTTGACAATGTGAGTTTGAGGCGTAATAAGTGAGTGCACGGATTTAAAGAAAAAATGGTATGAAAAAATAATTTCATTTACCATTGTTCATTAGAGAGTGGAAAAGTGATAGCAGGGATGTCATGAGAAACCCTCTGTCTGCCAGTCTAGAACAACTAGAACATCTAGTTGATTTAGGAGGGGAAAGAAAATGAACAAATCACATCAAAAGCAAATTTTCATCTAATCCTGAAAACCATTCCTATTCTGATGTAAAGTTTAATTTGTAAATTTAAATATTTATCTGCAATTAATGTTTTATTTTACAGATTACTGTGCAAGTAAATTTGCAGCAATCGGTTTTGCTGAATCAATTGATATGGAGATGAGAGCTTTGAGAAAAACTGGTGTTAAAACCACAATTGTATGTCCTTTCGCTATAAACACAGGAATGTTTGATGGTGTTAAATCCAAGTGAGTAAACTCCTGTGAGGTTTTTATGAAAGTTACAATTTTAGCATGTTATAAGCCCCTATTTCCTTTATGAAAATAATGAGCTGGGCTTTTTTTCTGCCTGTACTATTCTTAGAGTTCAGATGGGTGTTATTAGAGATTAGATAGCTGTCCAGTGACTATGCAACATAAAAGGCCTAGGTACTTTACTGTTCATTTAAGCTAAAATGTGAAGCATAATTGGTGTCCTTTCCTCTGCAGAAGCCATATTTGTCCATTTGTCCAAAGCTCCATTTGTCCTCTCTGGTTTCTAAACCCCCATTCTCCTCCTGAAATTGATAGCAGAGCTTTGCTTAGCATGCACATATAATGGCAGAGTTTATAAGCCAAATAAAAGTCTGGTGTGTCTTAATATGAAGGTCTCTGGTTTTGTCTTATGAGAGACACTCACTCTAACTAATGAAGACTCTGTTGTTCATAGGACTTGTGGTATTTATTTCTTTTTTTAGTTGAATAACTGTAAAATTGAGATATTTTTTGAATAAAACATGAATCCAAAGCAATTTGTATTATAGCTGTAAATATTTTCTTTTCCAGATGGCCACGTCTGGCTCCTGTTCTGGATCCAGAGTATGTGGCTGAGAGGATAATCAGTGCTGTTCGGCAGAACCAAGAAGTATTGTTCATACCACGCATCATTTATACTTTACATTTTTTGAAAAGGTAAGTTATGTTTCTTTTCCCCTCTCCTTCTGTCCAGGGATGCTTAAAGTATAAAAGAGGTTTCTACTTATTGGTGTGAATTTTCATTAAGCTATGCACATTTTTGAAAGTTTTTTTTGTTTGTTTCTATGGGTTCAGTCTATCCTTGGGCCACAGAACAATGACAGAAATGTCTAAATGTGCCTTGCTGACTCTGTTGGGGTGCAGTTTTACTGGGGGTTATAGAGACCGGGCCTTCTTCTCCATTACTGCATGTCAGAGAATTATTAGTTGGAAAAGACCTCTAAGATCATTGAGCCCAACTGTAAACCCATCTGGTGTCTTGCTCCAGCATTTGGGCACTTTTGACTCTGTTGCAAGCCAGGTTGGAATACTGATCTAACTAAAAACTCAGGCTGCCAAATGTAAATGATATTTGGAGATGACCAGTGGGTCTATATACAGCCTTTGCCAGTATTAGCCAGGTTAAACTAATTCTGTGATAAAAATGTACAACTCTTCTGATGTCTGTTTGTTCCTTTTTATCTTTTTCTTCCTTATCCCTACCTTACAGCTTCCTACCAGTGAAAGCAGCTGTTCTCCTGTTAGACTACTTTGGAGCCTTTGATATCATGAATACCTTCAAAGGTCGACCAAAGAACGAGTGAAAAAGCACAAAATTCAGACACCAGCAGCTTTAAAGTGAATGTTGTTAAAGGTGGTGGTGGGAAAAGTTTGCTTCACTAGCAGCTGTGAACTTTGGGTGCCTCATTTCTCAACAGCAACAAGATTTTGAAGAGTTGCTTTTTAACTGCCAATCAACAGCTTTCATCTGAACTATTTTTTTTTAGTGCAGCAAATTGTTTTCACCCCATTATGGAAATACATTAATTGAATTTAGTTGCTTTGGTTTATAATGCCTTAAATGGGATCCTGCATCACAAACCAATAATTGGCAACTCTGGGGGGAAGAAAAGACCGAGAAATCACAAATATTTAGCAGGTAGCCAGAAAAACTTGGAGTGGATCTGACTTCTTGTTGCCATTCAGTGAACCACGAGGATGGGCTGTACTGCTGGTGCCATGACCATTCCCTGGTAAGAGAGAAATTCAAGAATTTCCTCAAACAACAGATTCTAACTCTTACAAATGAAAGTTTTGTGAGATAAAAATATGCACTGTGTTGTTAAAAAAAATAAAATTACACTTATTAACTTTGGAGGTGTGATCTCTCAACATACAGATGACAATGGATGTTGGGGCAGGGACAAGGAAAGATATGTAAATTAAGCATTTGTGTTGCTAATCTACTTTGTGCCTAATTTATTTTAAAAACTAATACCATGACTGCAACTTTGTAACAGAAGTCTTTGTATCTTTTAAGTACAGTATTTTAAGAACTATTTTTAATTGTCATCTCCTGGGAAGAATAAACTTGTATTTATAAAGCATGAGACTTCCAGTCTAGGTGGGCTATTCAATGTCTTGTCAACAAGACAACGAACTACTATAAGAAAGGGTATTGTCTTGTATAATAGGGGTTTCTCTTGGGATTATTTCAGAAGGCAGTGATGGTGGCAGAGCTGAATGGTATCATTACAGCTGTCCTTTGAGTAACAGCATAGTGTTTAGCTTCTCTGAGTTGGGTGACAGGTTGCCTTGTGTCTACAGAGACTTGTTTTACTTTCCCTTTACTCTTAGGACTCAATTTATTTTGAGCATATGCCGAAGACGCATTGCCCTTTTTGACAATGGATGCTTAGAAAGCTACCTTGACTTTTTGTAATCCAAAGCAAGAAAAAGGAAGCTTATGTGTATGTCACTTCTGTACATGCCAAGTCCACTTCATGTCACGGTTCTCTGCTAGCAATTGGTACAGCAACTGAAACAGTATGGAGAAAAGGAGGACTTTTTTAATGGGGAGTCTTTTCCTTTAAATGATGGCCCAATAACTACCTTCATTTCCCTTGTCTATACAATTAGTAAATAGCAATTAGCAGAGAAAGGTTCGCATAGCACTGTTTTACTACTGATGAGCAAGAAACACTGAGTAAAACAAGTACGTTAAAAATCACCTTACCTTTATGATGGATTCATGAGAGCTAGAATTCAGACTGATGAAGAAGATACTTGTTTCCATCTCCTTTCAGATCTTCAGCTTTTCTTCCTCAAAAGTTTTACTCATTTTACAGTACACCTCAGGAAACAGAAGTTAACCAAGTAAAAAAAAGATTCTCAATGTGCAGTCCATACACACATGGCACTGTTCACAAATTCTACCACTAATAACTACGTGGTGTATCTGTGTCTTCAGCCTCCTCACCTTTTTATAGTAACAGAACATACTTTTCCCTCCTGGCTATGAAATACTAGATACACAGAGTTCTAGAGCAAAGGGGAAAATCAAACTCCAGCTCTAGTGAGAGCAAGTAGCTTTTCAGTTTTAGTCTCTTTGTGAACACATTCTGCTGAAGAAAATTAGAAGCAGTGAGTCTGGCAGGGGGATTTGGGGATTCTCAGCAGGATCATGTTTGTCACAGACCTAGGAGGATTTTATCTTATAATCTGTACCAGATAACTATGTCTCCAAGGGATTTTACTACTTCACAGAATCAGTGGCAAGGACCTGTGCTCACTTAAGTTTTGTATATCTCAAAGGTTGGAAACTCTACAATCTCCCTGGGTAACCTGTTCTAGTGTTTGTTCACAATCTTTTTAAAAACAAATAAATGAAAATTGTGTGTAAATTGAATGTACTTTTTTTCATATCCTTTCAGAGGATACCACTAAGAGTCTAAGTTTGTCTTTTACACCTTCCTTTTAGGTACTTATACGCATTGGGGCTGAGCCTTTTCTCGAGACTAAGCAGTCCCAGAAATCTCAACCTCTCCTTGTATGGCAGGTGCTCCAGTGTCTTAATTATCTCTGCAGCCCTTCACTGGACTCATTGAGTATATGCAAAAACTAGTTATGAGTCTATTCATATCTCTTAGAGACCAATTTCTGTACTAGACTGAGCATACATAATATGTCATACAGAGCTTCACCAGAAAATCTCTGCTTGCTAGCTGTCCTAGTAGGAGTACACAAATAATGGCTTTTATATAAATGTGCTGCTACCACATTGAATATTGTGGTCACTGGTAAATTACATCATGTGCCTGGAGGATTACAGCCTGTCCTGTGGTGGTTTTTATCTCCCCCATCTCCTATGATGGCATGACAGATGTGGAGTTGTATCCTGGAGGTCAAACAGCACACATCCTTCCCCTGTGTTCTGGAGGCTGCATGGAGTGAGTGTTTGGATCTTCAACTGGGATATAAATGTCTTGAGATAAAAGGTGGCTTACTTCCAGCATAACAATGATCTTGACTTACTGCTTTCCTGATGCCAAGAAAGAGTCTTTCCTTCTGCTCTCAGAAAGCTCATGGAAGGATCACTGTGGCACCCAAACAAGAAGATAAAACTTGAAAGGGAAGAGCATTTCAGCTGTGACAGCGTAATGTCTGAGTGCTGGATGGTATATCAGGCAGCTCCCACAAAAGAATTGTTGGTCTCATGGCTACTGCTTGAAATTTTAAATAGTCTCTCCCAAAAAATTGCTGTCCCACATTTGACTGGGATGTCTGCATTGGCCTAATAATCATGGTTATAGTGATTCAAAGGCAACCCATGGTATTTTATTGCCTGCTGTATTCCTTTTCTATGTGAGATCATATTCCTGTGGTAGCAGAAATCTTGGTGTCTCCTAATGCTTCAAAACATGGAGAACATAGTGCCAAGAAAAATTAACATGATTAAATCATCTGAACAGGACTGAGAAGAAAAACAAACAAAAAAACAGTAGCTGAGATACAAGCTCCATTTTTATTTTATGAATTTGGAATTCACACCCAGGAACTATGTGAACCTGCTTGGAATCTGATGTTCATGGTGGTCTGTTTTCATTTTAGGAAGGAGCCAAGCAGGTACCTCTTTTTTGGTAACTTTCCTAGGGGAAGTTGTTCTTCCAAAGACACTGGTGTGGACTGCATACTTTGCTAAGCAGCTGTTCAAAGCCATAGGCTTTGTGAAATAAGTATTTTAACAAAATAGCTTCTCTCACTGACTTTTTCTTTGCTGTGACAATCAAGAGAAATAGGTTTGGATCCACAGTTATCAGATATTCTAGAAAAATGCAGGATTACTGTCTCCCAGGTGACATTTAAAAATGCATTATCAATGCTTCAGTAGGTGAGAGAGCACTACAAGCAGGGTCTTTTGTCCACTCACTGTATGACAACTTTCTCTCTGGTCATAGGTATCTACAGCTTGATGATATTTTCTCTTTCAAAGAGAGAGGCCTCTTGGTGACCAAGCTCACAGCCTGAAGTTCTGTGAGAACTTCACAGGTAGGCCATGGCCTATGGCTGAGGAAAATATAGCTCTGTCTAGGGAAGAGAGGTGGAAAAAATCACACCTTCTTTCTTTGCCCTTGGCAATATCACACTACGGATATTGTGACAGAGATGTTCAAGACAAAGGCGTGACAAAGGCAGAAGTTCTACGCCAAGGTGCCTTGCGGTGTTGAATCTGCTGGGTAGTTGCTGCTCGATTAAAACAAACCTGGTTTCTTGGTACAGCTGTGTTGAGAGATTTCACCCCTTATCCAAAGTCGTGCATAGCTACATCTAAGACATTAAAACATTCTGCAGGACTTGTAGTGGAGCAGTCTTCCACAGTCCCTGCCCAGGAGGGAGGGACCCTGAGACATATTGTTACACTTTCGCCTCTCCGTGTCTTGGGGTCCAGAGGCAGCAAACCCAGCTTTGGCACAGAGAGAAGAATCAACAGAGCCAGAATACGAGCAGCAAGAGCAACACTGTCAGCACACACAGCCAACAGCAATTCAACAGGTTCTTGCTGAACAAGTTTTGCCTCTTGGCACCATAAACTTCACACCTAGAAGGTGCCATGGTCTCAGCTATGGAACCTGGGTGATGATGCCATCGCCCTGGGCAGGTATCTGCATCACCTCTATTAACTGTATTGCTGTAAAGGCAGCTTGCTCAGGGATTAATGCAAGGTGACACATGATAGCTGAGGAATCTGTTGAGCACATGGTCTTTAATGACTGTTCCCCTGAAATGTGAATTTTTGTTGGAAGGTTAACAAGGAAGGTTATCTCTATCTTAATTCTAGAAAACACACTTTGCATTATTTATTGTCTGCGTATTTCTGGCATGATAATGATTAAACCTGAAGCACACACAATGCACACTCACACAATGCACCATGCACAGCTAGTAAAGTTACAAAACTGATTTGAATCATGCTACAGTTATTGCAGAATGTCCTACCTGTGTTTTGGAGAGCTTTTAACAAACTAAGAGAGAGCTGTCAGTTCCAAGTAATCACATCTGTCAAGGGTGGTATATCCAGAAGGAGCAAATATCACTAGAATAGCCAGGTGAGGGGCTAGTTTGAAGTGTTTCCTTCAGGAAGTATGTAATTTCTACCCTCTGGTATTTAGTCAGTCTTTAACAGACAATGGGAGTAATTGATAAGGTGCCTAGCTGAAATTTCTGTGTTCAAATTTCCTAAAAAAAGGAATACCAAGTTAATTCCACCAAAAATAAAATAAAAATACTTGAAGCAGTTAGAGCCTGCTGTAGCAATTATCTCCACCAGCAGCAAGAGGCAGAAATCTGTTTCCAACCTTGCTTCTGAGCCAAGGACTTGAAAGACAGCTATGATACTAGTTTATTCAACCTTTATTTTTTCCACATTGGCAATGAAATGTCTGACTGCCCTCTTTCATGCTTTTAGATTCAGATAATTTTATCTGCAATGACATTTATAACAACATTTTAGGGATTGTGGCTTGGTCCTTAGCATTCAGATAATTGAAAAGGTATCTTTGCTTTTAATTTGTGTGTGACTGTAATTCTGCCCATTTAAATGGGTCAGATTTTCAGCTCCCATTCAAAGAGGAGAGAGCACTTAAAGAATCACTTCATATGTAAGAAATAGTGTCCTGATATCTGCTTTTTCCTAGATTTGGAAAGAGGCAGCTACATTTGTTGGAAAAGAACTGCAATATCCAAAGTGGAAAACCTCCTTAGAAAAAAAGACTGGAGGAGGGATAAAAAAAGTGAGGAACTTCAATTCACCTGTTCAAATGGGAGTCCACTAAATATGTGGAGAGTACAAGAAAAGAGGGAAGGATGATATTGGTGGTATTGTTGATGAGTAATTAGTTGGTATATGGTCTCTTTGTGGGATGTGCCAGAAAACTTTGTTTTGGTCCACAGGACTCTTGAAGGCTGGATCAGTTTCTACTGTTCTAGAGAATTTCCTGACCTAAAATAGGGGTAGGTTTACATAGTGTCTCACAAACAAGGTATTTTGCAAAAAGGATAAGCACTTTGGAAGAGTGGAATATAGGTACAGAACTTAATATGTAACATAAACCAGGCGATTGGAGATACATACCAGTGTCATAAAGTCACCCCAGAACATTTATATACAGACATATATACATATACATACATACATATATGTATGTTTAGATTTTGTTTTGATTCTGCATACACAGAGGTATAAAGAGGCAGACAGGAAGATTTCCAAGCCTATCCTCTTTTAAAAATCTTTTCAACTAGTTTTTGCAATTTAGTATACTGTAGCAGGTTTGAGATTGACATCTGAAGCCAGGTAGTGACTTGTCTGTCAGATTAAATAATCTCTTATAGCAAGCATTTTAGGGGGTAGCACCCTGACTGTTAGGAACCTAGGCTAAGGAGACAGTGGCATGTTTGCAGCATTTATTTTTATTCAGCCAGCCACAAGCCTAGCCTTTTTAACGTTAATTTTCAGAACATGGCACAGAAACAATGGATTTTTCACATCCACACGAAGAGCTGCTGCATTATTTCCATCATGAAGGCCTGTCCTGTATTATTCTCTTGTATATATATGTTTTTGTGTTTTGTTATATTAGAGCAGAAAAAGCCACAAAGACATACCAGGAATATCTATCCATGTTCTCCACCTGAGTTACAGATTGATTATTTTGGTTTCTTGTTCTTTTTCTTTTTGATAGTGTT